ATATTATATGACTTAATCTACCCAAGGTCACCCAGCCACTGAGTCAAGATCAGGGGTGAAATTTATGTCTGTTAGAGTCTGAGTTCCTATACTTGGTGCATATTTTCATTAGTAACATTTGTATAACATCTTCAGAAATTGCCCACATCTTGTCTCATTTGTCCCCTTTAGTGGCTGTGTGAGCTGGTGTTATTAGATCTATTTTGTAGGTAAGAAACTTAAGGGCCCGTCTCTTACGAATTGCAAGACATCAGACAAGATACTTCTTAGAACCTCCGTTTCCTCTTTTATAAATGTGTTCAGCCGGGAGGCCATCTCAGTTGGACGCTGGCAGTAAGGATGTAGTGAGAGGCCATTGGGCCTCTGAGCACGTGCCTGACAAACTCTGGCAGGGTAGGGGTGGGGCAAGGCTTAACTGCGAAGATCTGGAGATTTTCCTTTGCAAAAATGGGTGATTATCCCAGTCCTCTACACTTCCTGCCTATAGGAGGGGATGGGATAGCCCACCATCTCATCTCTTTCTGAGCCACTGTCTGATTCACAGAGTCTTGCCTCTGGAAGACTTGGGTGGGAGGCGTGGCCAGGCTCTGGAAGTACACAGGTCGGGTCTGGACAGCAGTCCTGCCAGTAGCCATCCAGTATCATCATGAAATCAGAGGACTGGAGTCCAGAGTCTGTGGGGAAGAGCCTTGCTGGTCAGGAGAACTGGAGCTTTGCGGTGCACCCTGGGACTGGAGAGTGACAGGACCTTCAAGAGAGATCTCCTGTGTGTGTATCCCAGGGATGTTTCAGAAGAATGCAGGGCTGAGTTCGGGAGTTTGGGAAATCCCCTGCAGGGTAGCCCCAGGAAAGCAGCCTGCTGTGTGGGAGTGTTCCTTTCCTGGCCACCCATCTAGGGCTCAGTTTTCCAGGTGTTGGGTCTTTGGCGTCTTGGTCATGTCTTCCTTTTGGCTCTGACATTTGCTTCTGTGGTTCTTCTCGTGACTACTGTGATCGTGGACAGGTGCTTTTACCTTTCTAAGCCAGTTTCTGCATTTAAAATGGGCACAGTAGTATCTACTTGTAAGTAGTTTCTTTCTTCCCTTCCTTGCTTTCTTTATTTTTTAATTAAATTTTTGTCTTTTTAACTTCTATTTCATTATGACCAATTGAAATGTTGCACTCTTTGACTAACCTTTCCCACCTATTTATTTTAATCAATTCAATTTCCAAAGTATATGTGCACAGCAATGTGTGTACAAAAGTGTGTGTACAGAAGTGTGATTGTACAGAAGTATGTGTGTACAGAAGTGTATGAAAGGCTCTCAGCCTTTAGCCAACTTGCCGACCTACTTATGAAGGATTTTCTTAGACTTACCAGCGATCTCTTCCTTCTCACCTTTCTCTCCTCCTCCTCCTCCTCCTCCTTCTCTACCCACCTCCCGGGGAAAGAAGATAAAGACAAAGAATCTAGCAATTGCTATTTGAAAGGGTAATGTGTCTACTACTAGCAAAAACTGAATTAGCTGGCGTGTGAGATACACTATGGCAAAGTAGGTGGGTGCAACTTAAAAGCAAAACATAAAGCTCCATGATGTGTTACTGATCATTTTCAACTTAAAAACCTAGAGCATAGGGTGCATCAGGATGTAGGAAAGGGCCATGGACTTTGAAATGGAAAGTGCACATTCCTAGTCACTTGATATCACCACCCCTCATTTATGGAGGGCTTAGTGGGAAGAAGACTTGTGCAAGGTAGTGGGAAGGGCCAGTGTCCTGCCCACAAGTGGCCCATGGCAGCCTTGCAGGGCTTTGAGATGCCAGATCAGCAGGCGAAGTGTCCATCTGCTGGGTCACAGTGCATGGTGGCATACACATTTGCCAGGCTGATGCCTCCTCTGGGATGTTTTTGAGATATGTGCCTCCAAAGCAGGTCCAGACAGGCAGGGAATGTGTTCTGTAGAGCGCTGTGGGGGCAGCCACCTTCTGGGACCCCCTGTTTAGGGGTTACAGGATCTGGAGACCCAGTAAGAAAATGTGTAAATTGAAAGGATTAAAAAATGTGAGGATGGTGCTGGGGGCCAGGAAAGAACTGGAGAGATACAGTGTTTAGTGACACCCCTTAGACCCTGCCTTGGGCCTGGTGCTTTTGAGGAACTTGTTTTGTCTTTCCTTCAGTGTTGCCCTTCCCTGCACACTGGGAAATCCAGGGCTTAGCAGACATGACTGCCTACACTAGTGGTTCTCAAAGTGTTAATTCTGTACTAGAAGAATCAGCACCCTCTAGCAACTTACTACAAACACCCCTCAAACCTGTAGGGTCTGGGAGAATTTGCATTTCTAAGAAGTTCCCCTGTGACATTCATGCTGTAGATCTAGGGACCACTGTAGGTTTAGTGATACTGAAGATCACTATCTTAGAATAACCTCTAGGTACCTGGGTCACAAGAATTCTTGCCCAATACCCCTGAGCCCACTTCCAAGTCCTGGACATCTTCTTGATTAGGCCTCTCCTCCCTAGAGAGGACCCCGCCACTGAGATATGTGTGCACTGGCAGGCCTGGGATGCCAGGATCTGTGGGCTAGAATGTCCACATGCACGCAAGTGAGGCCCCTCAGAGGAGTGGAGTGAAACAGCTGTGGGGGAGAAGGGAGCAGGATGGAAACTGAAGGCCTTAGTGTATTCTTCCCCGAGCTCTGGAAAGGGTGAGAATTACCTGGTTAAGTGGGAAAGATCCTTAGAGGCCCCAAGTTTGTAGAATCAGCAGAGGCCTTTCCCTGCAGGTGCATGCCTGAGTTTTGACTCAGCCGTGGAGACTGACCTTTTATTAGCCCATACTTCAGAAAAAGAGAAAGAAGAATGACAGCAAAGGCAGCTGATTTCTCTATGTTGCTTGAGAAAGCAATGAATACTCTTTATACCTGCCTGATGCTTTTTAGCCAGTACCTCAAAAGTTATCCTAAGGGAGCCAGGTTTTATTCCTAGCAGGCTTAGCATGTAGTTTGGACTGTGCTCCTCTTCCCTCAAATGCCAGTCCTGTGATGGACTACACTGGTGAGACAATGGGGATTAGAGACTAAATGCCCCAATTCTGCAAATAAATATACCACATTCTGGATCTTGGCCTCACCACGTACTGCTGTCAGATTGGGAATTAACTTAATTCCTCCAGGCCTTGGTTTTCTCATTGGCAGTATGGGAACAACAGGGGTTCCTACCTACCTTGCAAACCTGCTGTGAGCATGTGGATAAAGTAAAGGTTACAACTGTGTCCACCCTCGCAACATCAGTGCGGCAAATGCTCAAGGCTTGTCCCTCTCATCACAGGCTTAGTTCTGAGAGAGGCAGCAAAGTGAAGCCCAAGGCAATAGGTCCAGATATCTGGGCGGTGGCTGAGCAGAGTCAGCAGTGTCCTGCAGAAAGAAAAGAAAGTGGGCTGAATTCCCCCTGGTTTCAGTGTGACCCTGGCTAGTTTGAAGGCCTTGGCTTCCATAAATCAACTGCCTGCAGCGGCTTTTCTCTTTTCACCTCTCTAACCCTTCTCTCAGCTACCTCTCAGGTCAGGGCTTGTGTGTTAGAGGGCCAGCCGGCCCTGCGGCCAGCACCAAGCACCGACTGACCGGTGTGGCTGAGGCTCCAAAGCTCTTGCCCTGGGGCTACATCTGGACAGGCTGGGAGGGTCCGGCCTGGGACCCAGTGACACTTTTACTATTAAAATCCACCCGGGCTTTACTAGCTTCTGGGGAAAGCTGAGGGCTTTGGGGATTTTTGTATTTGCTGGGTTGTAAATATTTTATGAGAAAGCAGCCCAGGAAAATCTGGTTAGCTTTCCGCCTTGCACATCGAAGTGGGGCTGGCTTCATGCACCAGTGTGTCCAAAAAAAAAAAAAAAAAAGTCCAGTTTTGCCTTGGTCCTGAAGAATTTGTTGTGGGTTTTAAAGCCTGCTACCCTCTATGGGTCCCATATTTCTTTTTTCCTCACTTAAAGCCCCCTCAAAAAGTAACTTCAGGATTAGTTGTAAAACAAGAGGTTCAAATTGGGTGGTGGGGGAAGAGAGAGGTGAGTGTCTATGTGTGTGTGTGTATGTGTGTAAATGTGTGTGGCTAAGGTTTTCTACTTCCAAGTGTATCTATTTCTCATTGACTGCAGGATCTTCTTCCTTACCCCATTCTTCTGAAAGGCTCAGTGCTCTTTTATTTCTTGCCAAGGAAGAAGAAAAGAAAAAAAAGTGCCATAAAGCAGCCCTTCACTCTGTCCAAATGCCTCAGCAGAACTCCCCATGGGGAGCAATATGATCACGGGCCAGGGAGTCCGCAGTCCTCCTGCACCCTTCAATCATTTTGGAGCCTTAGATGTTGAGTCAGTTCGATGAAGCCAGCTGGGAGTTTTAAACTCCTCCAGAAGATCCTAAAGGGTAGTCAGAGTAAGAATCGCTGCTATAGAAGTATCCGAGTTAGACCAGCGCTGAGTCTTGGTGGGCCGCGGCTCTAGGCGCCTCCTCTTAGCCCCTAGGTGTTGGGCAAGACTGACCAATAAGCGAGGAAATGCGAACGGGGCAATTACAGATAATCCTAAATGCTGGGTAGTAAATAACCCAGGGTGGGTCCTGTGCTAGGCACAAGAGAGGTTACTTTATAGATCGGGGTGGTCTGGGATGGCCTCTCAGAGGAGATGGTGACATTCAAACGTCAATCCAGGGAACAAGCCAGCACAGAGGGGGTCTGGGAAGGCAGCTCAGCCCAGACTCCTGACCACAAAGGGCGCATTAGTGGTTCCACAGCCTGGTGCGGGTGACCCGGGAGGACGCTGCTGCAGCCACCGCCCTCTGCCCCGGAGTCCGGGGCTGACCTGGAGTTCGGGGCCTCCCCGGTGTGGGTCGGAGCACCGGCTGGGCTGGGAGCCCTGGGGTGAGCAGGCCCCCTGCCCCCTCCCAGCCCTCTTCCTCCCAGGGCGGCCGGACAGCACCGGGCTGATCTCCCCCTTAAGTGAAACTGACTGTAATTATTTTTTATCTCGCAGACGATCTCTCACACTCTCCTCTCCGGAGACAGAAGTATTTGTTTGATGTGTCCACACTCTCAGACAGAGAAGAGCTGGTGGGCGCGGAGCTGCGGCTCTATCGCCAGGCGCCCGCTGCGCCCTGGAGGCCACCGGCCGGGCCGCTGCGCGTGCAGCTGTCGCGCTGCCTGTCGCCAGAGCCGCTGGACGCGCGCACCCTGGACCCGCAGGGGGCGCCCCCCGCCGGCTGGGAAGTCTTCGACGTGTGGCAGGTTCTGCGCCACCATCACGGGAAGCAGCTGTGCTTGGAGCTGCGCGCCGCGGGGGTCGGGCCGGACGCCGGGGAGGGCGAGGCGCGCGCGCGGGGACCCCAGCAGCCGCCGCCCCTGGACCTGCGGAGTCTGGGCTTCGGCCGCAGGGTGCGCGCCCCGCAGGAGCGCGCCCTACTCGTGGTATTCACCAGATCCCAGCACAAGAACCTGTTCGCAGAGATGCGTGAGCAGCTGGGCTCCGCCGAGGCTGCGGGCGCCGAGGGGTCCTGGCCGCCGCCATCCGACGCCCCGGATGCCGGCCCGTGGCTGCCCTCGCCCGGCCGGCGACGACGGCGCACGGCTTTCGCCAGCCGCCACGGCAAGCGACACGGCAAGAAGTCGAGGCTGCGCTGCAGCAAGAAACCCCTGCACGTGAACTTCAAGGAGCTGGGCTGGGACGACTGGATCATCGCGCCCCTGGAGTACGAGGCCTATCACTGCGAGGGCGTGTGCGACTTCCCGCTGCGCTCGCACCTGGAGCCCACCAACCACGCCATCATCCAGACGCTGATGAACTCCATGGACCCCGGCTCCACGCCGCCCAGCTGTTGCGTGCCCACCAAATTGACTCCCATCAGCATCCTGTATATCGACGCGGGCAACAACGTGGTTTACAAGCAGTACGAGGACATGGTGGTGGAGTCCTGCGGCTGCAGGTAGCGGTTCCTTCCCCGCTGCCTTGGCCCCGGACCGCGGGGAGGCCTGACTGCAGCGAGGCGGAGGAGTGAAGCTGGCCTCGGAGAGGCTGGGGGTGGGTGGGTGGCAGCCGGGACGGGAGAGCGGGCGGGAGAGGAGGGGCACAGCCGGCCCAGACCTTCCACCTGCCAGCCCCGAGGCAGATGCGGATTCACACTTTGCCTGGCCACCCTGGAGCGACAAGAGGAGGATTTCTTTAGTCCGTCCCCCCACCCCTTATTATTTTGGCTTTGGATTTCTTTGTGTGTCTCCCAGGTTTGATGAGAGGTGGGGGGGGGAAGGGAGACGCATACCTGTTTCTCAACTGCTCCATGAACTGGAAAACAAAGTTTAAAAAGGGAAGCAATGTGGGAGAAGGAATCAGTGAGCGTATCTGGGCTTAGCTGTTTCCACTTCTGTAAGAAGGTGAGGTCTTTCCAGCTGTGTCACAGCCCCTATCCCATGACGTGTCTAGGAGAGCTGTGGGATGGAACAGGAAAGCCGGCAAGGATCGGGTGTTTGAGGGTTTTGGAAGAGGTGGGCCCGGGGGCCTGTCCCTCTCGCTTGTGTTCCCAGGATGGACCAACTCTGCCCTAGCTTCTCGCAGCACTGGGAACGGAGACCTCCACCACACACCAAGGGCTCCCTTCTCTCCAGCCTTTGCTGTGGCTTTTTCTGGAGGGGAGAGGGAGTTGGTATGGATGGAATGACAAGAATTAGTCCATATGGAGCCCCTTGCAGGATAATAAGAAACCGCGAGGTTGCCTCTGACCAGTGGGGAGGCACAGGCCAGAGGGAGCCCACCCTAAAGCTCTTGGAGTTGTCGGTTTCTAATTGATTTCTTTCAACAGATTTTGTCAAAATTCAGACATCTCCTTCTAAGGGGATGGTGATTTTCTAATTAAAAAGCGAATGGGTAGGAGCGGGGAGCTATGTAATTAAGGTAAGAGGTAAGGACCGAAGAGGGGAAAAGGACCCAAGAAGTAGAAGGGAGGATGGGAGCAGGCCCCAGCGGGAAGGGGAGGATGGAGGGGGCGGCACCACCCTTGTCTCTGAAGTTTCTGAACATCTATGTTGCCTCCCCTCTCACTGACATTCCTGAAAGATTACCAGTCAGCAATAGCCCAGGGCTCCCCTAAAAGAATTGTTTTAGATTGTAATTACCGGTTAGGCCATGTTTTTAAAACTTAGTAATGAGAAACTGTGAAAAGAGCCAAGTGTTACATTGAGCTTGGGATGGAGGACTGGGGACCGGGCAGCAAGGCAAGGGGCAGGGATGGAATTCATCTTCTGGAAGGAAACAGGAGACAGAGGGAGAGAGGGAGAGAAAGTGGGGAGGAGAATATATATCTAAATAGAAACGTCCATTCCCAGGTAGCCAAAAATATGATCTTTCCCCCTAGTCTGCAGCAGTATTATTTTCCAACATTGCCCATGAGGTCTTTTGAAGAATGAGTCTCCTCCTAATGTCTGACCATGAAATGGTTTAAACAGAGGAACCTGTACAACCATTACAAAAAATTTTGCTTTATCTTAAGAGGTTTGCTCTGTCCCCAGCTAAACCTGTTGCTTGTTTGGTTCAGAGAAATCCAAACTGTCAAAGAAGAAGTGGGAATGATAATAAATGCTAATATAAAAATGCTAAGTAAGAAGAAAAAGAGACTTGGCCAGGAGAAATAATTTAAAATGCACATTTGCTTTGGATGCACTGTTGTTCTGTTAAGGCTGTATATATTTGTTTATTTAAGGTGACTGGAAGTGCAAAGAAGAAATGGACAGCATGCAATTCATCTTAATGTACAAAACATTATATGCACTCAAATGTTATAATTTCTAATATTTTTAAAGTTTATATTTGAGTTGTACAAAGTTAAGCATTAATCAGATATTTCATTCTTTCATAATGTTATCATTTTCTTAAATATTATTACAAAATTTTAAGTCTGTCTAATGGAGAGTTTTTTTTTTTTTTGAAAAAAACTGCCTACCTCACTACAAGTATTTACAAAATTAAAGTTACCAGAGGTCAATTAATATTCAAATATTTTTTATAATATGCCTTTCCTGGATGGTACTCATTCTGATTAATAGTTATTATTAAACTCATTTCCCCCTTCATAACTCAGCCTGGTGTATATGGATCTATTTAGAGAAAATTTCTTGAGGAATTCTTTTCCATGGTATTTTGTTCCGGTATGTTACTGGACATTTGAAAAGGTACTGATTGTTTTAAAATCCATCATTTAGAGCATTGTATTTTTTCTTCATAAGTTTTAAAAATAAAATATGTGTTCACCAGATTAAAGCCAAATCCTGGTCAGCTGTTAGGACAAGATTCACAAGCCTGGGCCTCGTTGCACTATCTCAAGAATCCAAAGAAGAACTGGATTATTTCTTGGTTTCTTTTGGAACCCAGGGCCTCTTGCATGCAAAGCATATACTTTACCTGATCTGCATACCCAGAGCCTCTTTAATTACTGATTGCTGTTTGCATTTATGGAATACTGAAAGTAGAAGATACAAAGTCTTTTGTTTTTTACTTGCTGTAAATTGGGGGACCCTTGTACAAGTGCAAGTCTGAGAACTCAACTTGTGTCAAGTGCTGTGTTACTAGACATTTATTATCTCCTGTAAACCTCTCAGAAATCTTTGAGGATGGTATTATTATAAAGACCATTTATAGAGGAGGAAACTGAGGTGCAAAAGCTTAATTCATAAGTCTTCTTCAGCCAGGCAGGGTAGCTCAAATCAAATCCAGTTTCTACCACTCCTTCTATACCCTGCACCCCACTGCCCCAGCCTTCCAAGTTCCCTGAGCACTCCCAGCCATGCACATTAATATGTTCCCAGCCCAGAAGGTCCCTTTCCTACACATATGTTTTCAACTCCATCCAAAGTTGTTTTCCTTTCTTCCCTTCACCAGAAAGCTTATCTGAATACTTTAACTCAGTCAGGTTTCAAGAAAAACACCACCTGACTGAGTTACCTGAAGATGTAAGTATCTCCTAGCCCTTAAACTTGAAGACTTGAAACTTTTTTATTTTCAAAGGAAAATCTTGGCCAGCTTGGATTTCTTCTCAGTGTAAAAAAAAAAAAAAATCCATTCAATGCAGGAGAAGATTCAACCCTCAAGCCACCCACCATTTTGAGAGCTGTGTGTAAACTAGACCCTAGGGACTCAAGAATAATGGGGTTACCGATTAGTGTGAATTTCTTGGTGTCCCTTAGGAGAAATTTTGTGCAGTGAAGAGATTACTTTGAGTCATTTTTTTTTTTTTTTTACTGATAGCCATTTTGTTTGAACATTAGTACCCAAAGTATGAAAACAAAACACTGAATGACCTAGGTTTTCCCCTGAAGTTCTTTGATATAGGTTGGCACAGTTAAGATAAGCTTTTGTCCTTGTATTCATTGCTGTTTAGTGCTCAGAGCCATGCCTGACCTATAGCAGACACTTAATAAATGTAATGAGTGAGTAAGTCCACAAATCCTGTTCTACAGATCTGGTAATATTACTGTTACTTTCAAAGGATCCTTTTCTTAATGTCTTTTTAACTCAAATTAATGAATCAACCAATCTTCCCTTTTCAAGCAATTTAAGTTAAAAAATTAATCAATAAGCTTCCACCATCCATTGATTATATTCATTTAATATATCCAACTTGATTTTATAGCCCTTCTTGTCTTTATAGGAAGAAAAGCCTTCCCATACAGGTAAATCTGCTCTAAGGAAATATAATAGATTGAATTTCTAAAGATGGTGATTTTAAATTCTCTTAAGTATTTCAATACTCTTCCTATCTTTTTATTTAACATCAGGAACATTACTGAATTACTCACTTAAATTCATGTCAGAGGCTAACTTGTTAGACACTTTAATAAACTAGGTTCTTATAGCTTATAGCATTTTAAATCCCAAATACTGTTTCTTTTTTTTTGTTTGTTTGTTTGTCTTTTTGAGACAGGGTCTCGCTATGCAGTTCAGGCTGGCCTTGGGCTCATTCTGTAGCCCAGGCTAGTCTCAAATTCACAACAATCCTCCTGCCTCAGCCTCCTGAGTGCTGGATTACAGGCATGTACCACCATACCTGGCTCCAAATACTGTTTATAGAGATTATTCCAATGATTTCAAAGAGTATTTTGAGGTTAATATGAAAATGTTAATCATTTAATCCTGCACTACATTCTAAAATTTCTTGAGTTAAAAACACCCATGACTGAAATATTTTAGTGTCACAAACAAGATACAGTGAGCATTTCAGTGGGGTTGCACATCTACCCCTCAGTTTGGTTAAGACAGGAGATGGATCTTCCCCTTGGACATGCATCACCTTACCAAGTCCCTTTTAAGAATAACTGTAACAAAAGGAGCCCCAAGTCCCTTATCTCTTATGAGTTGGCCTCTTCTGGGTTCTAGATAGACCACTTAATTAATCTTTCCTCAGGATCTGAGTAAATTGAACTCCACACTCTAAGATAGTAGCTAATTGTTCTCACTAGTTAATTGAATTTTACATTTGTTTAACACTCTTAGGACATCTCTTTGTTTTTGCCTTTGGCCTTAAAATTGCTTTACTGCTACTATATTGGATTAATCTGCCCTGACATAATTCTCCCATAACGTTTTTCAACTTTATCACCAAACTATAGAAATAAGAATTGTGTAATTGTATTTTCCTTTTTTTTCTATATCTTCATGTCTAGAAGAACCAGAGCTCTCACAGACACTCAAAGGACACTTAGTGGGGACTTCACATCTGTCTTCTTCTTGTCTAGTTCTGTGTTTACCGTTTAAGTTGTGTTAATGAAAACACTGTTCTTATACTTGAATTCACAGGAACGTTACTATATTATTTTCTTAGGTAATGTTCCCAACAACTCTAGTTGTCATTACCTTGGTTTACAGATGAGAAAACTGAGGCTTAGAGTGACAGTACCTCTTGTGGGAGGAGCTGGGATTTCATTGGGTAGAACTGGCAGCTAGTCAGCGAGTTACCAGTATCTGGCAGATGTTACTCCAGACTCTGGAAAGCTTTACATAGAGAACTCTAGATGGCAAAAGCTCAGAACAGAAGCTGAACATCCAAGATCTTCCAGGCTCCTAAAGGCACGTTGCTCCCTCCACTTGTGTTTTGCTTTTTGTGGCATAGTTCTTTCCTTTCCAACTCACAGATACTCTGAAAGCTTAACCCACTTCTTACTTTGTTAGAGTTCTTTTAAAAGCTGTGGGAAAATGATAGGCCTCCAGTCTGTTGCAGTAAAAGGCTTGCCAATTGTCTTCACTTTTTTTTCCCTTTAAACCTTTCAAGTTACCTGGATAAGGAAATATTTACTTAGCTATGTTGTGATAGCCTTAAAAATCTCACGGATTCAGTTCAGGTTCAACTTTGGAGCTTCCTTTGTCTTCACCTTTATACCTAAATTATCTGACAAGCTGAGAAAACCACAGACAGAATTAGTTTCTGAGATATATTACTATTTTTGCCCTTTCTAGTGATTAGTGCTTATTGGACACCAATAGCATTAAAATCAAGGCAGAGGACTTAGGGTTATTTAAATCCCTTGCTTGGTGAGAAGGCCCAGGTCATGGTTTATTTACACAAGGGAAACCTTTTAATTTTGCTGACTGTGAATTTTCTATCTAGAACAAATGGACATCATTACTCTTGTAAGAAAGCTTACAGAAAACTGTATGTGTTCATTCCAGGTTGCATCTTTGACTAAGATTTGGCTACTGAAGTTGGTCTGGATTGAGTTGCTAATGACCAAGAAACCCTGCCTCTGCAGGGAACAAGTGATTTCTCCAAATAAATAGTTTCCAGTTGCATTAAAATTTTTTTCCTTTTCTATAATTTACTTGCATGAGTTGGAAGTGACTCCTTAGCTAGCATTAGTGTAGGGCCTCGGAGAGAGGAGAGAGCACAGGGCCAGCCCAATGGGCAGAGGCCTGTGCTCAACGGCCAGTGCCGTGGCATTTCTCCAGGCTATCCCAAATGTTTGAATTTGGGTGTTGTCCAACAGTAGGATGCAGCTTTAGCTTCTGTGTAGTTTTTGCTCCATTCCTAAAATGCTCTATATTGTTCATTATTTAACACTTGGACTTTTATTCTACAGAGTGGAAAATGGCAACATTGTATGAATGATAAACTCACATGGTAAACAGTTGAGTTCCTTGCATGGACAAGCTTTGGATGCCTAGTAATTATACATGTGATTCTGCTCCCTGAGGTAGATTATAGGTGGAAGCACTTCTTCCCCAGGGCATGCTCACCCGGGCATGGGCATCCGGAAGCCCGTTCAGGCTCTGAGGGTGTGGAGTTGGTGGGTGGAGAGGAGAGGAGAGGAAGGGAGCGAGGAGGGGAATGGAAGGGAGGGGAGAGGAAGGAGAGGGTGGAAAGCAGGGGTGGGGGAAGAGCGGAGAGAAAGGGAGGGGAGAGGTTGGGAGGGAATGAGAAGGGAGTGAAGAAAAAGTAGAGGAGAAGAGAGGAGCGCCTTTCAGTGATCTGGCACTTTTGTGACCTGAGGCATGGAAGAGGAATTCTATAAGGTATAGAAAGACACCCACAAACACATGTACCATTCTCTCACAGAGTTTTAAAAAACTGGATAGATGACCTAGTATATAGGAAGGATTCAGCAACAATTAGTGAGTATCATCATCATCGTTATATTATTTTTTGGGCAGAGTTTTGAAAGATGTCTTCTTTTTTCACTGGTGCTGGAAATGACAGTTCAAATGACTCTCTAGCAAGGGGCTTCACTTATGCATTAAATAGTTGTATGTTTTGTTCATCTACCGTTGGCAGGTATTCTGCTTAGGGCTGAGAATAGAGACGGAACTAGGAATATCTCTGAAGAAGGGAAGACTTGCTGAAATCCTTGCCCAAATGATGAGCAGTGTCAGAGATCCCAGTGACATGCTAAGGTGGACGGAGCCACTGTCCTCCCTGGGCAGCCATTCGTCCCTGTTATTAACCTCTCACATTGGTGAGATGAGTTGCCAAGTTTAGGGCACAGTGTAAGATCAGAAATTTATTTTTCTTCCACTTCAAATGCATTATAACTTTACCGAATTAAAGTTTTTAAGCATATCTTACTAACTTTGCTGAGCAAACTCCTGTGGACTGTCTATATCCATCTAGAGATTAATCTAATGAATAATTAATCTGATGAATAATCTAATTAACACCTATTAACTAATTTAATTATTGATTGAGCAGTAGCTAAATCTAATGAACAATTAATACTTACTAATCAATCTAATTATGAATTAACTAGTATTAATATAATTAATGAATTAATCCATTTTGAAGCCTGTGGAGGGACATTGTGATCAGCC